TCTTGGGCCAAATCCAGTCTAAGGATGATCTCAAGAGCCATGTGGAGTTGGACTTTATGATTGGAGAAGATCTTTTTGCTCCAAGTGCGTAGGCGCTGACTAGCTCTCTTTAGCTTGTGAAAGAGGATTTGGCATGGCTCAACATGGGGGGATCCCTCGTTCCAAGCATCTTGAACAACCTTCTTGAAGTTAGGCATCTTGATCCAAAAGTTTTCGAAGCGGAAGCACTTTGGCCGAGAGGGCCCGGAGTCACTAGCGAGGAGGAGAGGACAATGGTCGGACAATGAAGATGACAAGGCATGTAGGAGGTGTGTGCCGAATTGGATATCCCAATCTTCATTACAAAAAAAGCTATCAAGTTTGCTCATGGTCGGATCAGCTCGCTCGTTGCTCCACGTGAATTTCCTATTCTGCAAATGTATCTCCTTGAGCTCGCAAGCATTGAGAGCGTTGCGGAACCGGACAATGCGGCTCCGATCAACATTGGAACGGTTCTTATCTCGGGCACGATAGACTTGGTTGATATCTCCGGTGATAAGCCATCTCGTGCCATTAGTAGGTTTCTGCCCAACCATCTCAAGGAAAAACGCATCCTTCAAATTTCCTCTGGTGGGGCCATAAACAGTTGTGAGCTGGAAGGAGGTGCCTGAGCCGATGATCGTCACCATGGCCGAGAGGAAGAAGGTCCCAAAGTGCACATTATCAATCTTGATGAGGTCTTCATTCCACAAGAGAAGGATGCCCCCACGGGTGCCATTCGCAGGGCGCTCAGCGAAGCTTTTCAAACGGTGGCCACCCAGAAAAGCAGCAACAAAAGGATCCACAACAGCAAGTTTGGTTTCTTGAAGACATACAATGTTGCACGGGGTGGAGGCAATGGTTTCTTTTACAGCTGCACGGCGGTCTGGGCAGTTCAAACCACGTACATTCCAATTCAAAATGCATAAGTTGTTATCATCCATCAGAAACTAGCATTACATCTATCATTGGGACCAAACAACATCAAGCCGTTGCCGTGGCTTCCTCGCTTCCCATCGGCTGCAGTTCTGGGACCGTGTCTCCACCATGCTCAACTAGAGCATCTTCAACGGCAGTGGCCAGGTCGCAGTCAAGCTTGAACAGAGCACGCAACGCCGCCACCGCAATGTCAGGTAGTTGACCATTGAACAACGCTACGTACTTGTTGATCGCTTCCTCGGTGATCATCTCTCCTTCCTCGACAATGCCCAGCCTTTGGCAGAGCAGTTTCTCCGCCAACTGTGCAATAGGCATTGATCGATTCTTGGCGTGAAGCCGCGGGCTACTGCGTCCCATCTGGAAACTAGAGATTCCAGCAAGGGTCTTCCTTCTTCTCATCGGCCGCCTAGGCGGGGTGGATCTTGGCGTTGGTGATGGCAGTAGGGCCGGCTGACAAGGCACGAAGATGGGAGTACACTGCTCTGGCTGCTAAAAAATGTCTTGTTGGGAGCTTGGACGAGCAGAGGCCTTCCTCATTGGTGAATTTGAGAGGGGAGGTGTCCTGGTCAAACTAGACGAGCCGTGAGGATGAGGCGACGATGTCGATGCCGGTTGGTCCTGCCTAGCATACGACGTTCTTCTCCTGGCAGTAGGCGGCCTCGGCGGAGTGGAGGTGGGTGTCGAGAGTAGTGTCGGCGACCGCGACACGAAGATAGGTGTGCATGTCGAGCTGTTAGAGGATGGAGTCGCGTCTGGGGTGGACAATGCGACAAGCTCATCTTCGGCGCCCGTCGAAATATGGAGTTGTAGTAGTGGCGCGGGGGAGCATGTCAAGGAAGCTTGTATGTTGAGCGGCGTGTGGGGGCTTGAGGCCAGGTTGGCTGCATGGCGCAACAGACGAGGTGGCGATCGAGCAGCCCCGCCCGGCGGACACGGTGTCGCACGACGCAACCAGTCAGGGGCAGCTGGGGAAGGTCCCAACTCAATCACGTCTTGGTAAGTAGTGAGAGGCGAAGGCGGCGATGGTCTTTCGTGGTTCTCAGAGGTGGTGAAGGAAGGCTGCAGCTCGATGATGTCGCGGTATGTAGTGCGGGGGGAACGCGTCGGTGATCTTCCTCGGTTATCCTCGCAGCGCGGACTAGCAGAATGTGCACTCCGGCGCGCGCACCTCACCGGCGTGTCAGCTGGGCGATCTCGGGACCTTCTGTGTGAAGCTGGGATAACAGCACCACCTGGGAGTCGTTGCACACACCCGCTGTCAATTTTCCGGGCATCAAGAGTCTGGCGCGCCAGGCCACGGTGCTTGTCAGCGCTCCTGTGGGCACGGTTGTCGCGGTCTTCTCGTCGCGGATTGCGCGAGTCTCGATCTCTCTCATCACAGACGGACGCGTAGTCTCTGTCACGGTCTTTGTCCTGGTGGCCTTGGTCGCCATGGCCACGGTGGCCATCGGCCATCCCCTGATGGTCACGCAAGCTTTCCAGACACGGGCGGCGCGGGGCCCTCGCATTAGCATCAGCCGGAGGGGGTAGCAACATCGATGGAGGCGGTGGGAGGCGGGCTTGCGGCGTAGGGGGCGACCTTTTGGTGCACTGGCGTGCGCGGTGCCCACTCTGCCGGCATATCAGACACTTGTAGGGGTCGCGGCAGTCAATTTTACAATGTCCCCGCTCCAGGCAGCGATGGCAGGACCGACGGCAATGCTTGATGAAACTGCTGCCCGTTGGGGGGGAATAGGAAGGCGAGAGTCGCCGTCATGAATGGCGGAGACTCGGAGACAGGGCTCTCCACCAGTACGGTGCTCTGACAGTCTTCCAACCTTCCTCTGAGCTAGCAATCAAACTTGACGGCCCGGTTGATGGCGACGCGCGGCTTGAGATTACGGGCGTCCGTGCCGCACACCGGCTGGCCTTGAAGGTCGCAGACGCCGCCTCTTGAGGCACGACCTGGGGGCGCCATGGATGGGCTTGAGAGGGGCTGGATTCAGCAGCTCTTCAGCAGCAGCAAAGGACACCTTCCGGATTGGGCCTGGCGCGACGGCAACCGCAGCTGGAGGTGGCCCTTCTAGGAGCGGATCCGGGAAGGTGGACGAGCTTGTAGAGGCATGGCACATCGGCGGGGAGCCCAGATCTGGCGTGGATCCAGCCAGCGGACGAGGTCCCCATGAGCATACCTTGGGGTTGGGAAACCGGGAGGGAACCGCGGTGTTGCAGGGGAAAAGCAGGGCTGGGCGTGGGACGGCGCAGCGGCGGCGGCGTTGGTGGCTGCGGGCGCCGGAGCGGCGCGTCGCAGGAGCGTAAGCAGGGGAGGTGGCATGTTAAGGATCGAGACCTACAGTATTCATGTGGATCGAGACCTACAGTATTCATGTGGATGTTTTACATAAGCAGGGGAGGTGGCATGTTAAAACTCTTGTGTCTGTTAGTGTTGGTAACAGCTTTATTCATGTGGATGTTTTACATAAGAAAATGAATTGTGATCTTTCCCTTGTGGTGGTTTATGATCCTACTCATGAGGAACTCAAGATGGATTTTCTTACTGCTTTGGCTTCCTCATGGAGTAAGATGGTGAATCCTTATCTGGGGTGGTTTTTATATCCTTAGAAATATGCAGTGAGAAAAATAAACAAGTGACTTTGTCTCATGCCACTGATCTCTCTAATTCTATTATTCATTCTTATAACTTGAGAGTGATTCATATGTCTAGAGGCATGTATACTTGGTCTAACAGGCAAAAGAACCCCACCCTAGAGAAATTAGTTAGAATCCTTATGTCTCCAGCCTAGAAAGATCTTTTCCCTTTAGTGCATGTTGTTAAGTTAGTAAGTTGTCTGATCACAATCCTTTTGGTTTTGAACTATGGTTGCAACTTTCAGGGGATAACAAAACCAGAGGCTTTCGTTTGATCTGGCTTGGTTTATAAACAGCGTTCCTTCCCCTTGTTACAGACATTTGGTGTGCAAATGTGGCTTCTGATGATCCTATTGATGTTCTGAATATCAAAATCAAGAGGTTTAAGAAGTATTTTAAGGGGCGGGGTCCAATCTGTTTGGTCATCATGAAAAAAGAAGAAAAGAACTTGATGAGGAGCTGCTGGTCCTAGAAAGTTTAGAAGAGCTTTCACCTTTAGATGTGGAGGCTTATAATTGTAAAGTGGAAGTTCTAGTGGAACTCCATGAGCTATATGTTGAGGAGGAGCTACATTGGATTCAGAGTGCTAATGAGAGATGGTTTGTACAAGGGGATAATAACACTGACTATTTTCATCGAGTTACTAATGGTAAAGAAAAGAAAGCAAAAACAATTATTTGTAGGTCGCCATGTTTGGCTTCGACATTCCTCATGATCTTGTAATGGTTCCTTTGAACATGGTTGTTGAATAAAATTGAGCGAGGTTCCCTAAAAAAACATCCATTACTCCATAATTTGAAGATTCATTCTCTTGAAGAGCAGTTACTCAACTGTTTACCTGCAAAACATGTGAATGATGCCATCGCCGTTTTCCTTTGTCATGCTTCAGTGCAAAAGAATGTAATCCCCACTGTCTCCAGTGGTTTGCTCCTCAAGGCTATGGTATTGGTATGGAGTTCTTGCAAGTTGCAACTCCGGTTTCTGCAAGGATGCCCACGATCCTAGCACCCACCTGAAGATCGCCGCGGTGCTTCCTCTCAAACGTAGCATCATTACAACGTAGCCAACCAACAAGTGGCATTTCCTCTGCCAGAATCAAGACTTTATCCTCCAGATCAAACCATCAAGCCAGCTTCCCAACAGAGTATGTTGTATACCGCCTGGGTTTTGGAGCATAGTTTGACAATGCATATAAATATTTCACAAAGGATGATTCCTCCACACATGATTGCATGTAGTTCTTATCAATCAAATCAACAGATATTTTATTTCCGGAAAATGCATAACGCTAATAATTTAGCGCGGCACTGAAACACCTCCACGGTCTTGATGCTCACTTTGACAACTGAAAAGAGCATCATTATCCTAGACCGCAATCCCGTTTAAACGGTGTGCCTGAATCTAAACCGTGTTTTCTACCATGCAAATGAAGGCAAAACGTAAGATGGGTATGAGCTATGCTTGCAACACAACGCACTGACGGCATCATCTCCAGCAGTTTCTCCAAATTCACCGAGTCCAAGTTCAGCCGCATGGATACCTCCAGTGATGAATGCAGATGCCATTCCGGCTCCATTTGCGCCTTTGATGTCGTGGTGCAGCGAATCACCTACGGTGATACATTCATGTGCTTCAACACCTGCTAGGGACATTGCTGATGTATAGATAACCTGAGAAAGCAGCAGCTAAGTCAGTACCTGGCGAGAGCCGGGGGACAGTTTCCCACACAAAAACTTGAATACAGAAAGGATGATCCGAGAGGAGGCTGTTAAAGCAAGTAGTAATAAAGTACAGTTGCAATCACAAGTTCATAATGCTGTGGGTCATCATAGCATGAATGCCATTCCAGTTCTGTATTGTGTTTAAGTTGTTGAATCAGTCGTAAGTCTACAAATACTCCGACACGCCATGCATTACCTTATCAGGCTTCCCCATCCATTTTACTTCACCACCAAGACTCTCGTATTTTGCTGCCAGGGTGCCTAAAAGAGAAACATTATATTACCACCATCACTTGGCACTGTAAAAGATGGCCATACTTCTAACATATCTCTTTTTTGAAGAAGAAATTTAGAAAAATATCTCAGGAATCAGAAATAAAGAATGTCCAAATTTATAGTGTAGGATAGGCAAGCAGATACATTCATGAGTTAAAACAACTCTGCTACCTGGTAATGGTTAAACAATCAGCATGGCATCAAATATGAAAGTCATTAACCCACCAGGCATGACACGCAGGTTTCGAGCTTCAACAGTGACATAATCTGGATTAGCTACCACCATTGGAAGTCGCTTTTGTATACCAAGCACTAGAATCTGCTCAAGCTCCTCAAGACTTTTCGAAAGTGGATCACCAGAAGGTAAACCCAGGGCTTCAGTACCATGGGCTAGTATAAACTCTGCATCGTCAACATTGTTCACAACTTGCAAACCAAGTCCCTAATAGGAGAAAACAAGAAATCATTTGACACAGAATCTTGTAGAAGTGCCTCATAAGTAACAATGCTTTTTGATATCACACTCTTGTCATTATTAGGACTTCTTCATATATGTTAGATGACCTCAGCCATTTGGCAGGAATATATGAGTATGCCACACCAAATTTGATGCTAATATTCCTTGGAAGAAACAACTGCCAGAGAAAAACAACAGAAGAACAAACCTCCAGAGAAATTGCACCTCGATTGCCCCATGTCAGATGGACACACTTCCTTCCCAGAGATGCAAACCATGGGTCATCCCTCCTACGTTTACGAAAGCAAATCAGAAGTTTTAACTTAAGTTTCTGAGTAAGCTAGACCAAATAACCACAGAAGAAAGATCAGCATAAAAGGCTTACTTGTCAAGGTACTGATGGGTGAGTTCCCCGCTGGTGATCGCCCCGAGGAAACAAGACGTGTCAAACCCAAGGCTCTGCAGCTTCTCCATGGTTACAGACGACCGCCTTGAGGAATTGCTGATTATCACCATCTTGGCGCCATTCCCAGCGAGCTTCTCCACTGAAACATCCATGCCTCACTTGGCTATCACATTGCAGCACAAAGATGCAACAGTAAACTGGAGATAAATTAGGATGTGTGGACCAACATACATGCCAAAATGGCGCCCGGGTAGGGTTTCTTCCCGTCATGAAGAACACCGAACTGGTCCAGGAACCATGCCTGCCAGACAAACTCGACTGTGAACAACTCATAGCAGCAGAAGCAAATGGTATGGGCACCCCTAGCGATACAAACGACCAGATGCTATGGGCAGAGGAACCAGCTTTTCCCCAATTTCTAGCTGAAGTTCCGCAGACAGCATGAACCCTATGCGCGGTTTCTTTATCCGAATTAGCAGCGCAAGACCAATTCATGTACTCCTAGCGTTTCTGCTACTTGGAAGACGAGCAAAACGAGAGGCGATTCTGCGTGAGTAGGGTGGGGGCACGGGGAGCTTGCCTTGAAGCGGCCGGACTCGGCGAGGGGCCGGATCCCGGCCAGCCTCTCGAATACCGGTGCCGGCGGCGATGACATCCTCCCCGCCGCCGCCGCGCGACAAGGGCCCTTGCTGCTGCGGTAGGTGGAGGTGGGCTGTGGAAAGTGGAGACGATGGAGCTCGTTTGGAAGGGTAAGGCAACGAGGACGCCAAGCAACCAGGCTGTGGCTGGGTCGAGTACCAGGCTACCAGCCGACGAGCGAGCATATACGCCGCTATCTCGCCGGCCGCCACGGCCATCGTAACCGTGGACACGGATGCAGGCCTGCAGTTTGCCACATTCTATACTTTCTATGATACCGATGCAGTCAGTGATGCGGCATGAAGAATTGCTGTAAAACAGACAGTGTTCTCAAATCTGGCAAAATAGCTAAAGTATAGAGCGCCCAGAGAACCTGATGTTTTGTTGCAATATCATCCAACCTCACGAATCAACTACCCAGGCAAGCCTGTTGGTACAAGTAAACACTGTGAACAGCTAGTTTCAGCAAAGCACGGCTGATCGATCACGAAGCGCAGAGCGTGCACACAACCAAGGGCAGGGGAGAAGAACAGTTTCTGCTATTTCGTGATCTGATCCCAAACACTCGGGCAGGGTTTCCGAAACAAAGGTACATTCAGCTATGCTATTACAAAACCGACAAGGTAATAACGGATCCATCGCTTGTCTGAGGACTGCCTCAGTTCAGCTTCTCGAGTAGCTCGTTGATCTTGTCCCCACGGTTGCCCGAGTCGCCACCATCCTTGAAGGGTTTCTTCTTCATCTGCAGCCTCCTCTCTGGACACTTGAGCTTGAAGGGCATGAGAAAGCTCGCCGTTTCTCTGAAGTGCGGCCCGACAGTGGAGATTTCATGCACCACGTCTTCCAAACATATGACGCCGTGTTCTCCAAGTGCCTGTTTTTCACAAAGCACGTACGATGATTATAAAGAGTACATTACAAAATCATCACGAAAGATAATTCAGAGAATACTTTTGCAGCAGAAATGCACGTAGCAGTGATGAAGATACAATTATCCTAACTGAGTGTTTTTTACAGTGTCAAATTTGGCGAGTCCGAGCCTGGAATACATTATTATTGGTCCAGAATTGAACCCTGAAGGTATTCAAGTTTGTTAGCAATTGTGGAACTGGCTAGATAAAATTAACAGGCACAGATCACTGGTTTGCCTTGCTGAGTACTTCCTATGCTTATTATTAAGTTGCCGGTAGGCATGTCAAAGCTTTACTTGAATCGAATGCCTGAACCTAAATCTCCAGAAGATGTCACAAAAATTATACCTTCTCGATTAGATCATTGCTGGTAAGGGGGAAAGGCTCCTTGTCGAAATATCCGCGACCCTTCTTGTAAATTAGCTCCTTCACATTCTTCAAATTGGGGAACCTACCGTGACACCAATTAACAACATTCAATTCAATTCACCTTAAACTAGGAACTGACGAAACAAGCCACACAATGGAGAAGATATTTCCATTCAGTTATTACCCATAGGTGACAAACGGTCCGACAGCAGCAAGCCTCTTGAGGTTTGTCTCGGTGGCCTTGAGGAAGACGCCGGTGAGGACCTGGGTGAGCCGCAGCCTGGCCAAGATCTTCCTGATTTGCGGGTGCAAGTCAGCGGTGCTGCAATCACACGCGAAAATCCGTGTTAATAATCGCGAGGTACCATCAGCAAGTCAGACAAGTGCGTGCTTCAGGTAGGTATATAGGTGACTGACCCTGGGATGCGGATGGCGAAGAGCAGCTTGGCGTCGATGGCCTCGGCGGGGCGCAGGTTCCGGACCTTGAGGCGCGTCCGCATCCGCAGGAAGTCGAGCTCCTTGTTGCGGAACTCCCTGACGAAGTCCTCGGGACGCTTGATGGCGCCCTTGGCGTCGTGGCGGCGGCGCTGCCTCTTGGCCGCCTTGCGCTCCCGGTTCTTGGTGGCCCACTCCTCGTTGTCCTTCCTCTTCTTGAGGACCGTCTCCCGCACGAACGGCAGCTGCTGCGTGCCCTCCTCCTCCGCCATGGCCGGCGGCGCGGGGTTCTCCTGGCGCGTGGTGGCTAGGCGGCGGCGGAGGCGAACGGGGTCGGCGGTCGGGGAGGGTTTGGGAAGAGCCTTGACGATATTTCGCTGCTGGGGTCTTAAGGTCTTGCAGCGCTTAGTGGGCTGGGCCAAAGCCGAACCCACCAGTTATATTAGTAGTCTTATTAAGAGGGCCGACCATATACAATACTTACTGGGCTTCAATTTGAGGAAGCCCAGTTGGGTGAGAACAGAAATATTTTCGGCAGGTGCGCTTGTCCGTCCTCCCCGTTCCGTTTGCGGTTGGGTCGCAGTCGTACAAAACCTTCTTGCTCTCGTTCGTGGTCCAAGCCTAACCCTAGCCGTCACCCCCTTCTTCCTCCCGGCAGATATCAGGCGGGCAGAGGGAGACGTCCTCGCCCGCGACAGCTTCTTGCGCGCTCTCCTCTCCCCTTTGACCCCGCCGCCGACGGCCGCCGCGCGCGCGGAAGGTTCTCCCCCCCGCGGACCCCCATAAAAGGTACGGTACTGTAGTTTATGTTGGTGCTGCGGGTGATCTCGCAAAGGACTCAAATCGAATTGTACAATAGGACTTTCCCCCCTTCTATCTATCTAATCTATCTAATAATAAAGGGTGATAAGTTTGCTCTCGTACGTAATTCATCCTCGGACGGATTGGTGCTTAACTGCTTATGATGTTCGTTCTGCTCATTCAGGTTTCGAGATTTATTAGGAATATATACAATATGGCTGGGAGTAGCACGGATGCAGCAACCAAGGAGATGGAGGCATTGCATGTTGGGCAAACCAAGGAAACAGATGTAAGTGCTGTGCTGCACAAGTGTTCTTCCTCTCATTATCTTGCACGGTTGCTTAGGCATATTTTTCACTTATATTAATGGTGGTCATGGAAAAAAGGTTGGGGATGAACAATAACCAAACAAGCTATTGCCCGATATTATTCTGCCTTGCAGAATCGGTGTTCACCACAGTTGATAACTACCAGTTGTTTTTGCCATAATTGCTTTTTTATTGCCTTGTTGGTAAACTTGGTCCCACCGTGTACTTTTAACTTATCTCCTGAATTCTCTTCATTGCTGTTATGGAGCCTCTGACCACATGCCATGACTAGCCTTAGCATGCCTCAGTTAGAAAGTGATATGTGATTACAACAGTCCTACAACTGATGCCAACTACTGTGGTTACATGGATTGGTGAACCTCACATTTCATCCCTTCTCTTGGATGATCCTTGCAATGCTGTATATTATTTTGATGGTAAATAACCTTCCCATTTTTGCTGCAGGAGATTCTGAAAAAAGCGTCAGATAGCAATGGCGGGGCTCCTGGAGCTCAGTCCCCACCACCACCAGCAGATGATGATGAGGCACAAGTGGATGGTCCATCTGAAGATGGAGCAGGAGGTGACAACTCTAATTTGCAAGATCTCATTTCTGTGTTTCTCATAGAGCTGGACCAGTGGATCTATTGCTATTCTTGTTAGCATTTGGAAGCTGGGATATGAATCATGTGATTAATTTTATCGTTGTGTCTCAAATGGATAGCTTCAGCGGCTGCGAAGAAGAAAAAGAAGAAAAGCAAGGCCAAGTGAGTTCTGTTATTCAGTTGAACAATTAATGTTCTTGTGTGGTTGCTCTATTTTACGAGCATTTCACTTGTTCTCTTGTAGAAAGAAGAAAGACCCCCATCAGCAGACAGATCCTCCATCAATCCCTGTGGATGAGCTTTTCCCTTCAGGAGATTTTCCTGAGGGAGAAATCCAGGAATATAAGGATGAGTAAGTATTGAATTATAGGAATATGGTGTTTTTTAACTTCATAAAACAGGCAAAGGTTAAAATTGCATGGATAATCTTAACTTCTTAAGACGATACAGAAATAGTATTTTGTTTCATTTGTCGCTAATGAAGGATTCTGCAAAATGATAATTATCTTCTGTTTTGTAAATTAATCATGTTATTTGCTCTTCAGTAATTTATGGAGAACAACTAGTGAAGAAAAGAGGGAACAGGAACGACTACAAAAACCAATGTACAATTCTGTTCGCCGAGCTGCAGAAGTCCATCGACAGGTTTAGAATATTCTAGCCTGCTAGCCTCTATTATTTTTTCCAGCTTCATTTTATCTGTATCTTTGGTTGGTACATCTCTACAATGTAAATATGGCTTGCTAGGTACGAAAGTACATGAGGAGCATTATAAAGCCTGGAATGCTAATGATGGAACTATGCGAGACTTTGGAAAACATGGTTCGGAAACTTATCAAGGAGAATGGACTGCAAGCTGGCATTGCCTTTCCAACAGGATGCTCGTTGAATTGGTACGGTATTGCTCTAGAGTGCTTCCTAGTACTGCGTCCCCTTCTCACATTGACGGAAGAATTTTTTGCTTAGGGTCGCAGCTCACTGGACTCCAAATTCTGGTGATAAAACTGTACTACAATATGATGATGTGATGAAGCTGGATTTTGGGACACATATCGATGGTATGTCTGTTTTATTACTTTGTTCGGTTCTTTCTTCAATGATCTTTGGTGTATACATGTTAATGTTTTGTCCTTGCAAGTCCGAATTCATGATATTCATAATTTTTTGAAAACTAACATGATAATGTGATTATTCCCAGGGCACATAGTTGATTGTGCATTTACTGTCGCATTTAATCCCATGTTTGATCCGTTGCTGCAAGCAACGAGAGATGCCACAAATACTGGAATCAAGGTAATTCTACATACTTCGTTTACTTTCCAAGGCTGTGGTACATTTTAATTAAAAATGGACTAATATACTACCAAATGAATGCTTCCCATAAGCAGCTTTGCTCATAGTATTTCTGATAGCAGCTCTACTCTTTGGAAGAACACAGTGATAGGTTTTCGTTAAAGTCTGTGCTTTTGATTACCCGTTATATAGTGTCTGTTTCAGCGCAATGTCATTTCTCCAGCTTTTTATAGTGATCTGTTTGGGTCTGATCTGAGTTTCGTTTTTCACCTGTCAATGATATGATGTGTGGAT